CCGCCAGTTTTGCAGCGTACAAAGTCGCCAGGCCGGCTGCGGAGCTTGAATTTGTTTGGATAATGTAGTAGGTGAACACATTATCACTTGGAAAAACAGAGGCCAGAGAGGCCAAAGTACTTGTTGGGGCCAAGATTTGGGTGATTGGCGTTGGAAAATCTGCAGGGCTTGAAGTGACCGCATTGAAAACGGAGCTCAGGGCAATTGCTGTTGGAAATTGTACATATGCAGCACTGGAAATAGCTGAAAGCGCCGACTGAGTGCTAGTAGCTGGGACGCCAATTATAGTCGACGAGCCCGCGTTTGGCAAAGATCCGCGTGCGTCGAATTCGATCGAAATACATACGCCATCATTGAAAGCAAGGGTTCCTGCAAACGGAGGATTACCATAGTTGAGACCGTACACTGATTCGTCGCCTTCGTCGCCGGCAAAAACCAGGCAGTTCAGTCCTGGCCCCCCTGGTACGTCGTCAAAGAGATTGCAGAAGAGCTGCTCGATCGGAGGCCGTCCAGAAGATGTACACAGACACGGTTGAAGAGTGAGTTGGGCGTTATTGAACAGAGGCGACGCATAAGACGTTATACCGCTAACAGTGGCACACTACATCATAATTAGTCCTGATTTCAGCAAAGTTCGAGGGATGGCATTGTCTTACGAGGCCCGAATCAACGTGATAGAAGTATCCAAAGTTGAAGCACGATCCAAGAGGTGTAGTAGGGGGGAAAGTCGTTTCATCGACTTCGTAGTAAGCGAACTCGTCGGTATAAAGTGGGTTGGGGTTGATTTCCGCTTGTATGACTGTGCCAATTGTGTCATCAAGAAGTCCCAGCTGATATCTGGACGTATCAGGGCCATCGATCGAAAGTCCTGGGATGCTCGCCAATACGGCGGCTCCAATAGCGGCGGGTGTAGAGCCGGGAGCGTAAGATCCTGTATCACCAGCACAAGCGAACTGCGTAGTCGCTGAAGGCATGATGCTGCTTGAGGTATCGGTGACTTGACTCGGTAGCACTGTGGTTGAAGCCGCAGGATCAACTGCGATGCTCGACGCTAGCACAATAGTTGAAGCCGCAGGATCAACTGCGTTGCTCGACGGGGCCACAGTCTGCGTAGTTGAAGAGGCTGGATCTACACCGCAAATGCCAAACTCGGTTTGACAACCAGACTCG